CCCCAAAACCCCAAAACCCCAAAACCCCTAAATGGTAGATCTAGATAGAATTTGTAATAAAATTAGTTTAAGAAATGAACGCCCTCAGTAATTGAAAGGTTTGTAGGTCTTTAATACAATATCCTGAAACACATTGCTACGAACATTTACTAGTCAAATTCAAGAGTGAACACTGGGAAGTAATTACCAAATGTCTTTCAACATGGAGAAAGCAGATCAGAATCTGAGTGGACACTAAGCGTTACATATTTAATAAAATTGATCAAATATAAATAAACTAGACATAGCAGCACAAAAAGCCGAGAAGAACCTTCTTCAGAGTGAAGAGGCCTTTGACTATATGATCTTCATGATTTCATGTGATGATGTGCTTCTCGACTGTTTCTATTCATCTAAAAAACCTCTAAACGTCCAAATAACTAAATATTGGTCATTGAGACTACCAAAATTTGAAAGAATGAACATAAAGAAAAATAAACAACGTGAAAGAATGACTCTTATAGACTACTTTAATCCGCTAAAGCATCCAGTTGATGCGCTTACTATTTCAGCCAAGAGAACTGGTGAGAAGATTAAGTGGTGTCTTCCATTGACCACGAACCATCCAGGGAAGCTAAAGAGAGTCTCTTTCTGTTATTTCTTAATCTTAGCTAAAGACTTAAAGAGGCTATTCTCAACTTGAGATTTTATGAAGAATATAACCTTTGTTCAATGAGAGTTCGGAATTGATGTTAGTCGTAAGTTGATACCTCCTTCTAGCTGGGAGAACAGACACAAAATTACAGAGAAAATCCAGACCATTGGATGCACTTTCCCAGGTAAGGTTTTGAGAATTTATGTGATGATTTATACCAACATTGAAATTCTTGCTTATTTCCTAATAACCAGTCTAAACCTTTCCTTTAGGAGGTCCAGATGAATTTAAAGATATTGTGAGACAGTTTTACCCAAAAACTAAGGTAGAAATAATCAATTAATCGGTCATTCAGATATTGCTTCGTATTTACACATTTGAGAATTTCAGTTAGCTATTCATTACCTGGGGTTTTGGGGTTTTGGGGTTTTGGGGTTTTGGGG